TTAAACTTATAAAAATGTTTTTAAAGATATAGGCAATATACTCATAAATACTTTATTTTAAAAAGTTCAGTTTTAACTTTAATTATTAAGAAAAATGAAAGCATATATCGACACTTTTTTATCTACATATTCTTTTATAACGATAAGTTGAGTTAAATTTAGAATCCCTGATTTTAAAATATGCCGTTAATAGCAATTTGTTCATACTTAATCATTAGGAAACATCAACCTTAAACGCTAATTACTGAAACAAAATAATAATTTAGATTCATAATGACGTTAGAAATTTTACAATTGTTTATAGATATTTAAATTTACGATATAATTTATAGATATTTAAATTTACGATATAATTTATAGATATTTAAATTTAAAAGAATATAATTTTTAAAAAAAATCATAAATATTTAGAATAAATACATTAAAAAATATGTTATGAAATTAGGAGAATTCCAACGATATACTATATATTTTATTCATACTTTTTATTTACATTTTAATTTTCCATGACTTTATCCATTTCTTAATTTTTTTCACCTGCCCTTCTTTTTGAAGTAACGAGGCGGTTTCTATTTAGATAATGAATTTTTATAAAAGTTCTTAACGACAGAATAAACGTATTGCTGGTTTATATTAACTGTGTCATTTCGGAATCCATTCTTTACATAGTTGTTCATTTACTTTAGGGAACACGCGGAAAATTATATTTTTTCCTTTCGTTTTTCCATCAGACAAGTTGCAATCGCGCAAACTGGCTTTTCAATAATAGTTTTAAATTATTGTAAATTCACTGCAAAAACTGAGGAAAGTCATTATAGAAAATAACAAATGTCTTAGAATATCTCGCAAAAAGAAATGCTACAATATTAGTTAGAGCTAGTAAGGCCGAACGCTCCGTTCTTGAAGTAAAAATGCGAGCTTTGCGCCAAAGTGACATCACTAGAGAAAATCGGCGGATTGGCGCGGCGAGAGCTACTTCAAAGGAGTGAACCAGCCCTTCTATTCTCTTTAGCCCTGGTTTTTCTACTTGATTTCTCAAACCATCAGTCATTTTTTGGAATATCTGGCACCAAAATTAGGGAAAAAAACACATTTAAATAATAAATTCCTATTGAGAAAAATCGAAAGAAATACCTTTTCTTTATCTCAGATGATGGCATTCTTACAGAGTACGATGCATCGTTTTTCTTTTTAGGAAAAACGCCACTTGTTTCTCTCTCTGGTAAGACATCGTAGTCCCTTGTAGGTGAGATCATCGAAGGAGTTGGTGTTGTATCAATATTATCTTTTTCCATTTCACTGTCTTCTCGTAAAGTTGCATCAGAACGCGTAGTTGACAATGACACCAAACTTGCTGTTGTCATCGAAGTCTGCGCTGCGGATGAATCAGCATCCGTTGTTCCATCGTTAGAGATAGAATCAACATCTTCCTCATCGTCTTCTTCTTGCTCTGTACCTCTTTGAAGGTGGTAATTTGGAAGCATCAACTTTGAAGCCTCCGCCCGAATGCCATATACTGGTGTGGCCCTCATGATGGACAGAAGCACAATCATGCAGTCCACGCTTGCTCTATGAACTGCCGAATTCGGATCTTGCATGTGGAAGGTCAGGCATTTGCTCAATGCAATCAAATCGAAACAGCAGTAGGGGAAGAAATTCAGCTCTTTAAGTATGAATCTCAATATGGCTTCTTTTTGCAAAGCATCGTTGGTCTTTAAGAGCTCCCATATGATGGTCATAGGGTGAATGGCTCGCATGAGTTTGTTGAGAATCTTGTCTGTTTTGCATTTTATCTCACTGTTAGGAGATGTTAAGCATTCTCGTAAGACACCGATCAAATACGAGAGGTGAGGCGACACATAAAAGCCCATTTTTGTTATGACGTCTCTGAGAATTTTAAAGCCACTCATCTGTACCGGCCGGTTAGAGCTGAGTAAAAATGCGCAGACGAGTTTTAGAATGTCCATCAAGTGGCCTGCGTAATCGAGTTCATCACAGAACAGTTTCTTGAAAGCGATTGCAAAATGGTCCACCATCACGGCTCTCTCGCTGTCCTTCGTGATCGCGATTTTCTTGAGCAAGGCGAAATCGACTATTCCGAAAGCTTTGTCCAGTTTCATCTTGGAGCTTTTTCTCAGATATTCTCTGATTAGAACTGAGAGATTGCTCTCGCTTGAATTCAGATAGGGATCCTCGTTTTCAAATTTGTAGCAATTGGTGTAGACGCATTGAGCTTCAAGACCATCGGATGATAGAAGATTGTAAAAGTCCTCGTCTCCTATCTGCTCGTGAATTTTTTTCAAAGCACGATAAATGGCAAAGCAGGACGGCAAACTGCAGTTTTGAAGAAGTGCTTTTCCCAGTGGCTGAATCAAATGTGAATAGAGATCGTCGCCAATGTTTTGATCGAAAACAATATTTAGACCATGGAAAAAATTCATCTGGGACGTGATGCTGTCTAATTCAGTTCCAAGAGAGATTAGCTCTTCAATGAATCTAAAATAATGATAATAATGATGATAATGATAATAATGATGATAGTGATAATAATGATGATAATTATAATAATGATGATAATTATAATAATGATGATAATTATAATGATGATAGTTATAATAATGATGATAATTATAATAATGATGATAATGATGATAATGATATTAATGACAATGGCAAAAATAAAAACATTAATAAAAAAATAATTACTTTGATGTTTGCATGTGATATATATATTTCATTCCTAGCAAGGATATAAGCAAATTAATTTTTTTGAAGATTTTATATAAGCCGAATGACTCGAAGACCAATATATACATATAGTACTCTCAGTTAACGAAAACTTACCAGACAATTGGTCACTAACAAAAGATTTTTGCCATCTTTAAACAAATAGTTTATTTCATTACAATTTATATCTTTTTATGTCCTTTGATACTGATACTTAAAATTTCGACTATAAATTTTTAGTTTAAGATGAACATAAATTAACAAGCTATAGATATCTGACATAGTGTTGATCATTTTCATTGTACTTTGTTATGCAGATTTCAAATTTTAAAACCATTTTTCTCTTACGTCAATTTGCTCCACCCAGGTATATTTAAACTGTACACATTTTAGATTAAGGGAGTATGATTTAGATTAAGGTGTATGGATTTAATGTGTGTATTACATCTTGAATCGAATATTTCTATCCAGTATGTATGTCATGGGATTTAATACATTTTTTTTAGCAAATGCCCTGGTTATAAGTGTCGCATGTTACAATTGATTGTTTGAGTGAAATATATATGGTTGAAGTAAGAGGATACAGACAAATGATTTACACAATGTGAACCAGCATTCCAATTATCTTAGAAAGGGCACTATAGATACCAAGATAAACATCACTTTTTAAAATTTGCTTTTCAGCGTAATTTTCTGCTATGCTTTTTTAATGCAAACATATGGTATTTATTACACTTTCACTAGTTAAATTTTTTTACATTTCTTTAAAAATTATAATTTTTTTTCTGATAAATTCTTCACAAATTCAAAATATGGATAACAAAACCGACATATATGTGGCAAAATTAGGTGTTTGATAAGTGAAGCAGATTTGTTTTTACTTTTACTGTAGTTTATGCTCCCAAAACTACAATAATTGTCAGATTGTAATTATAATTCTGTTATTTTTTTGCAACAATTTAATAATATGGCATAATCTTTTTTAACATGTTTCAATAACAATATCTTGATTTATGACCTTTTTTGTATTGAATAGGATCCCATGCTTCCAGGATTATGACTTTGATTCGACTCGGGATTGATACAATATATTCCTCAATTTTTACTTAAAACAGTTAGTGCAAAGAAAAATTTACTATAATTATTAATAAAACAGAATTATGTTTAACAAACCTTTTTCAGTACATTTCGAAACTTATTGGAAATTTCGTCTAAATCTTGTAATGCAAAATTCTGGTACAGAAATTTCAATTCTGAAATTCTAATTCTATTAGTTCAGAGAATACAGATTAAAGTAACTACTGATGTTCTCTAAACATTTGAAAAAAAACATTAAAGCATTATTTCTTTCGCAAATTAGAAATTCAAGAAAAGATTCAAATAATTACAATTATTTTACCATAACAGTTTATTAGTTCAGTGTACTCCATACACATATAAAATTTATAAAGGAATAGTTTGAATACGATTCTTCTTTCACCCTTGCTGTCACCACTCTAATGAAAGGCACAGTTAAAAAAAAAAAAAGTGTCCGCTTGCGGGCGTCTCTGTAGAATCTAGGAAAATGAGTGTATCGTAGCGGGTACGTAAATACCGACATTCAGGCATGGAAGTATGTAGTGTGGCATTTACTCCTGAATTGAATGTGTGTTGAAAATGCTGAAACGTTTCCTAAGATGAGGATGTTATCAAATATTATTAAACAGACTAACGATTCTAACAATATAAGTTCATTGCGATTTTCACGTCTTAAGTGGAAGATGCTTGGAATGTTGACAGTTTGTATCAGACGAAGAAGCGCAGCACAAATTTTGGACTTCTTAAATTGCAGAAAAACTTTCCTTACCAAACAAGTATATTCATAGTGGTGAAAGACTGAGATGATTGCTTTAAGGCTCAGGGCGCTTTTGTATGACTGGCTAACAAACAATAAACTGTTCTGTCTTTAAACGAAAACGTTTTGATTGTCATTTACAAATTATCTAAGTTCTGATGCTAGAATAAACATAATACCTGGACATGTCTTTGGTGTGTCTAAATAAAGATCGAAAGAAATGCAGTGCTTTCAATATTGTTTCCTTCATTTCGGCTTCATGCATGCACCTCATCACTTTAGGCAGAACAGGCATCAAGAGTGGATCTGTTTTGTTCTCCAACCTTGGAATGGCGCAACAAAGAAGATCTAAAGAAGAATAGCGTACCCTCTCATTTTCACTGGATAGGTGTTCCACTAAGAACTTAACTAAGTTGTTCCTTAAAAAGAAATGAAAACATACAGAAATAATTCTTATAATAAGATATAAACATTAAATATGAACAATAAAAGGTTTTTTTCAACCTTTTATAAATCGAAGAATACTTAAACACTAAAGAAACAGATTGGGCCAATTCTATCGTTTTTTGTTTCTCTGTAATTCAAAAAATGAATTTAATATATTTTTGAAGTTTCATAATTTGATCTAATTTAAGTGCTGATTTAAATACTAATGTGTTAGCGAGCCTTATGGGGACGTATATTAGCCTTCAGGTACTTTAGCAGGAATCCCTTAACTCCTGGTATGTTTGGGTATAAAGTACCCTTCGGTAAGTACAAGGTACCCCAGTTTCCTTAAAAAAAGAGTATTTCAATGAATCTATAATTATTATTTATTGAGAAAAGGAAACTTAATTTTCTGGGAAACTAATGTACAAGTATAATTGAAAAATCAGTGTTTTGTTATTCTCGTTAACAAAATCAGAAAAATTACTATAGAGTTTTGATGATTAAGTCTATTATAGGTTTTCATCAAATTAATTATGGTTATATTTTATGATTTTGGATACCTAATTGATCTACACACAAATAATCTGAGAAGTACCACAGTGTCCCCTCCAGTCTTTCTAGGTATACAGCAATGTTCAGTCTTTCTAGTTTTAAACAATATATGAATTTTTAGAAGTATAGGCAGGGCTAAAGAGAATAGAAGGGCTGGTTCACTCCTTTGAAGTATCTCTCGCCCCGCCGATCCTCCAACGTCACTCTAGTGACGTCACTTTGGCGCAAAGCTCGCACTTTTACTTCAAGAACGGAGCGTTTGGCCTTACTAGCTCTAACTAATATTGGATCATTTCTTTTTGCGAGATATTCTAAGACATTTGTTATTTTCTATAATGACTTTCCTCAGTTTTTGCAGTGAATTTACAAGAATTTAAAACTATTATCGAAATGCCAGTTTGCGCGATTGCAACTTGCAAAAATTCTGATATAAAAACAAAAGGAAAAAGTATAATTTTTCGCGTGTTCCCTAAAGTAAATGAACAACTATGTAAAGAATGGATTCCGAAATGACACAGTTAATATAAAACAGCAATACGTTTATTCTGTCGTAAAGAACTTTTATAAAAATTCATTATCTAAATAGAAACCGCCTCGTTACTTCATAAAGAAAGGCAGGTGAAAAGAATTAAAAAATAGATAAAGTCAAAGAAAATTAAAATGTAAGTAAAAAGTATAAATAAAATATATAGTATATAGTTGAAATTCTCCTAATTTCATAACATATTTTTTAATGTAGTTATTCTAAATATTTATGATTTTTTTTAAAAATTATATTCTCTTCAATTTAAATATCTATAAATTATATCATCGTAAATTTAAATGTCTATAAACAATTGTAAAATTTCTAATGTCATTATGAACCTAAATTATTATTTTGTTTCAGTAATTAGCGTTTAAGGTTGATGTTTCCTAATGATTAAGTATGAACAAATTGCTATTAACGACATATTTTAAAATCAGGGATTCTAAATTTAACTTAACTTATCTTTATAAAAGAATATGTAGATAAAAAAAGTGTCGATATATGCCTTCATTTTTCTTAATAGTTGAAGTTAAAACTGAACTTTTTAAAATAAAGTATTTATAGTGTCATTTTCACCAACTAGCAAAACATTTTTATAAGCTTAAAATGGTATTTTTTTAATATAATAACCAAGAAAGTTTTTTTTGAACTATGTTTATGAACGGAAATACTGTGTTAATTACGTAAAGTTTGAAGACTAATAACCAGAAAAAGTCTAACTTATTTTTTACAAAGAGAAAGATGTAAAGTTATCATATCTTTGCTTGCGATCTCCGAGATCTGTGGACACAGTGACGTCATGAGGAGGGAAATCGTAGCTTCAGCTCTAAGAGCGGAGTGAACTAGCCCTTGTATTCTCTTTAGCCCTGAGTATAGGTCTCCTATCACGAGTTAAGTTAGCGTGCGCAAAGTGAGAATGAAGCAAACCGGTAGAGTTTATTCCAGTGATTTAGGGGGAGAAGGTAAAGAAAATTAAATTGAAAGAAAAACGAGGAATCGGGGGGAAATGGTTATAGATACTTTATTTACTTATTGTAGAAATGAATGAGTAAAAAAAAAATCTTGTTTAAAGAACCTTCTATCGTAGTGAACTAAGATATGGGAATGGTAAGCCAGTTCCCAACCTATAAAAAGTGAACTCTTTCCTTAGATTTTCCCGCCACCTGCCAACTTATCGTGGTTGAATAATACAAGTTAAATTTGGAAAGATCGTTTTCGTTCAACTCGCAGTAACATTTAAGATAAATAAAACAGATCATTATTTTAAAGTAAAACAGCCAAACATTTACATTATTGAGGCCTCCGTGACTGAGGGGTAGTGTCCTTCTGCCAATTGTTCTCAAGCTTGGAGGTTGAGGGTTCAAGTGCCAGCGTAAATTCGGATATATCTTTATGTTGTCATTCTCAGATTTGTCCTACTTTTTTTTCAATTTGGCCCTGCTTTAATTAAGCACACAGTTCTGCATACACGCAATAATTGACGAAACTCGAACCCGCTACCTAAACGCTTCCGTTTTAGGATGCAGGGGAGCCTAATGCGCAACAGCTAAGTTTGCCAATCTAGTTCAGCCTTGTCCTGGCACTTTTATATAGATATGAAATACAAATAAAACTATCTAGCCAAAAGGAAAATTTACAAGCGCTTACCAAATAAAATAATTGTTATAAAACTGAATATATTTGCACTACTTTAAAATATACTTAAATAGTTAAAATTACCGTTATTGGCAGAATTTTTCCAGAGGAAATAATTTTATCAAATTTGCTATCAAGAAGCCTGATAATAAATCACTTATTTTACTAAAAGTCTCTACCAAAGCTTTACGGCAAGAATTATTGTACTTCTTGCTTTTCGCTGTTCCCACAGAACCAGAAAACAAAGTAAATTTAACCATGTTTTGGATAGCTTTGACCATACTTTTTTCATCAGAGCAAAACATAAGAAGAGTTTTTAAATGTAATTTATTTGTTGCCAAGAGATTGGTACATACATCACGAAATTATGATTAAAGATTATAGTAATAAGTAACAACCAATTCAGTTGATGGTTACTTTAATAATATAATTGCTAGTTAGATCTGATCTAACATTATTCGCTTTTAAGAGTAAGTATAGCAGAAAAAACAGTCATTTCAACTCATTAGTTATTAAATTCTTGATGACTTAGCAAGTCATTTTTAAAGATATTGAAAACACCCAGAATATCCTAAGCATCTGAGCAATTATCTTAAATCTCAGTTCAACTGAAATCAGAGTTTCTGATAACTTTATATGAGCTTCATGCATCAAAACTCTACATAGAGAGTGTATTGAATTTTTCTCCTTTACTAAAGAGGAAAAAAAAAAGATATTTTACGTGCTTTTACTGTTAGTTATAAATAATAGAATGATAATATGTATAATAAAGATGATAATGATAATAATGATGATAATTATAATAATGATGATGATAATTATAATAATGATGATAATTATAATAATGATGATAATGGCTTTTAATTTCAATATTTCCTTTGTTTAAATATAATATTAGTCAACATTCGTACCTGCAAAGTTTTCGTTCTTCAAATCGGCTACATTCATTGGGCGTAAGAACAGTCTTAAAAAGCATCTTCAATCGCATTAAAGTGAGTTCGCTGTCATCTCTTCTGACACTCAATTGACTTCTACGATGCATTATCTCCTATGTAAAGGATAAATAAAAACTAAACTATTTCCTTAGAATCAATTGATTTCCGTTATGAATTAAATACATCCTATGCGAGGGATCTCAATCACCTACTCCTATGGTGCATTCTTCGTACGTAAAAGATTTTAAAAGATTCTAAACTATTTTCCCAGAACCAACTGGTTTCTAAAATGCAGCAAATACCTCCAATGTGAGAGCCAAAGAAAGACGATCTAAGCTGCTTTCTCGGACTCAATTGGCTTCTACGATGCAATGGGGGATTTAAAAAAATGTAAGGAATTGAAAAAAAAAAGAATTCTTATTATTTACTAATCCCAATTGGCTTCCACAATGCAATAACTACCTTATATAAATGGGATAAAAAGAAGAATCTAAGCTATCCTCCTTTGGTTCAATTGGCTTTTTTGATGCAAAACCTTTTTTGTAAGGGATTAAAAAAAAGAATCTACTTAAGGCTATAGTAATAATACTTTTTGAGAAGTTTTATTTTTTCTAAAATAAGATGTATGTCTGCTTGTATCTAATGTTTAAAATTAGGGAAAGACTGTATTCATATTTAAAATTGAAAGCACGTAAAAAAAATGGGTCCGAAATTTGACGAAACATTATATAATTTAGGACACAACACTTGATGACAACAATAGTTTCTTTACGATAAATTATTCCATCTCTTTTAATTATGCTCTCTAACTTTTCCGGGGTAATGAGAACTATTCGAAATTTCTTATTTATTTTATCATTTGGCAAAAATACTTTAATTAAATAAAAATGAATTTATTAACTTTATCATTTAATAAGCTTAGAAAAATCGCAACGGTATTTATGTTTTGCACACCAAATATAATTCAACGTCCATAACACTGTTTTGAAAAATATATAATCTATTATATATAATTCTCTTACGCGGCTCCCAAATTTTGGCTGTATTTCTTTTCCGCCGGTGGCATCAGTTTTCATTTTTAAAGAAGTACTTTGTACAACTAAATAAGATTCTTTTCACAACACTTAAATATTTACTTTATTTTCTTCATTTATAGAGAAAACAGTCGGCAAAGAATTCTGTTAGGTTAAAAAAAATTTCGCTAAAAAAAATAACGAATTCTAAAAGAAATAAAAATAAGCAACTTAAAAAATAAAAATGCTGTTGCCAGCCATAGAATTATTTGATTGTTAACTTAGCAACATGAATCAAAATAACATAGAAGCGCAACTAGATCAAAATTATGATACCTGAGTGCTTGACGTAACAAATACTTCAATTCTATAAGTGTTGTATCGCCAAATGCCCAGATAATATTGAAATGTAGAATAATATTGAAATTGTTTAGAATTTTCTACAGTGAAAAGTTTTCGGAACTTCAGTATTCAAAAAAGTATACAAAAGCTAGACGTTAAGAACGTATCCAATGCGCGAGCAAAGCGAGCATTGGATTGCGAAGCAATCCGAAATGAACTGCGAAAGCAGTTCCGGGGGTTGGCGAGCGCCATCGAGAAGGGGGCGAAGCCTCCTAGTTTAATAAAAAACAAAATTTCCCCTCAGTAATTTAATATAATTAATGTAATATTAATTAATTCCATTTTCAAAAGCAGAACGGATTCATTATAGCAGAACGGATTAAATTTTACTTAATCTTTCTAAATTCCAAATCATATTTTAAATACCATCAAAAAATCTTGTCTCGTATGTGATGAATACAAATTTGATATCAGATGCATATATCAATCACGGAAACTGTTCTGTTTGGTATCATTGAAGACGGTGCCTGGAATGGAATTCATCTTTAATGTTGATCAGAAGACAGTACTGGGTATCGGTGCAGATCTCACTAGGTAATATTTTATAATTTTTTATTTTATAACCGTCGACCCGATTTTTTGGGTTTAAAACTACTAACGTTCAACTCCGTAGTCGTGTAATTTTGAACCCAATCCAGGAGACAAGGGAACTCCTGGATCAAGTATTGAGAGAAATTTGCTTTCGCAGAGGAGTTTTTCATGGAACTAACCCGAATTTGGGTTACATGGAGAGGAAAACCACGAAAACCTCCCACGATTGGCCTGACGGCAAGGGGACTCTAACCCATGATCCGTCTACTACTAAGGATATTTCACGTCAGCATTGTGGTCGGTGCAAGTCGAATGCGGAATCGTTTCGACCAGCTATCGCTGGGGATTCGAACCCGGCTAACTTCATTGGAAGGCGAATGCTCTATCCCCTGAGCCACAGAGACTTTCACTAGGTATGTTTGAAATCTGGGATTCGTGAAAATTTACTAGATTTTTTTTTGGCAGCAATCATGTTTGCGGGCAGCTCTTTGCCAAATTGAACGGTGCCGTAGACAAAATTAAATTCAAGATCATAAAAAACATAAATAAAAAGACGTAACTTAAAGACATAATATTAAAACTAATTTAAAACATAATGAGATGAACTGTGCTCGGGTTGTCAAAAATGAAGGGAAAAAAAGCCCGGTGATCAACTTGGCAATAATCCAAGGAACACCTTGAAGAAATATAGACTGTAACGCGTCTACCACAACAATTATTAAATACCAATTCACTAGTATAAAATAAATCCATTTTACTTCCTTAGACAACAGTTAGATCATAGGTGTAAACTTATTGACCGCTACTGCTTCTGCTATTTCACTAGCACTGACCTTTTTACTACTGCCATTATCTTAGCTGCCCATGGGCACTACACAGATGGAGAAGTGAGATGAAGTGGACAAGTACTTTGTTTCACAATTAAGTACAAGTTCAACTCGATTTTACTTTGTGGTACCTTTTCATAGATGATGGTTAGCATTGTCGATAACACTCGCTCCATATCATGATCTGAACACGTCTACCTTGACAGACACGCCTACTTCGATCGATGGTCCACATTGAACAGTTGACTTGCTATTTCCGACTGTTACTTTGTCCTCCTCACACTGTTGCTACTCAGTAACACAACGAAGCCTTTTGACTCTCGACTGCTAATAGCAACACAGGAACGCCCGCATCCGGTGATCCTAATACAACCCTCCCGCTTCTCATGAAAACAGCAATGAAACGTCTAAGTGGTTTGGTATTCGTTCATCGAATTCCATCACAGATAAAATTCTGGAGGGGGGGAGTACTGTAGCGTGTCCACCACTACAATTATTAAAAACTCATTTATTAGTAAATAAGACATGTTAACTCGATTATGTCATTGGATACCTTTTGATAGATGAAGATTGACATTGTCGAAAGCTATTTCTCCATATATATAACCCCACTGCCACAATTTAAATGCAAAAATATATAGCATAACAAAACTGTATTAAAATCTTTATAACGATACATAAAATAATTCATAACATGAAAAAATTCACGCTATTTAACATCATTTGAATTTTTGATTCAGATACCTTACATCTTTTCTTTCTTGTAATTTACTTGCATATTAGTGTATTATGAGATTTGAGATATTCTTTGAGATTTTGTTTATGTCTATCAATACTCGAAATCAGTACAAATAAATTGAAGAGAATGACTTACCGAAGAGAGCATATTAGCGCTCCTCCATCGATTAATTTCTTCTCTTTGGTAAGCCATTAATAATAGTCACAAGAATTGTTTTTAAATTACACTTGCAATCGTCATACAAACAAATGTACCGTAAGTTTCCGGGAAAACGAAATTATGCTTATGTCAAGCTTACATTTTAAAGTTTGTCTTTAAAAAAATGAGTCCAATTTAAAGTGTGTTTTAAAAATCTTAAAAATTAATTTTTTATGGTGTTAAAAACATAATATTTGTTTACAGTGTTATCTGGATTGTGTGTGAAATATAAAATGGAACACAGTAATAACTTTTAATCCAGTGATCGGATTTTCAGGTATTTAGGTTTGATCTTATTAATAAAAGAGGCTAATTTCATGTTAATTTTCTAGTGCATTTTAAGTTAAGAAATTTGAACAGAAACATATTTTCCTGTACTAAACATAACTTTATTTTCTTTAGGCATAAATTCTTAATCCTCAAAAGAAAAGAAAAAAAAAAAGGGGGGGGGGAGTCGATCGCTGCCGCGATAAGCAAGATAAGGTCCCGATAGTTTCGGCGAGAAAATAGTTAGGGTCTAATTTTAATTTTATTAATTTCAATATAATATGCGTATATCGTAATATGTACTTATTAATTTCAATTTAGTAGTTATTAATTTCAATTTTTGCGTCTTTAGCATATATCCTTCAAGGGCTTTTTTTGAAAATCAATTAGACAGAAACTATGCGGCCCACTTTACTTAAATTTTATATTTCGTCCCATAGAATTACAAAATGGAGTTAACATTTTGAACTGAAAATATTTCGACCATTTTTAAATGAAACAATGAAAAAAATTTTTTTTTTTAAAAATACACTTTGCATAAAATTATCTTCAACTATTTTCATATTTTATTTACTTATTATCTACAACTCTTTTAATAATTACTAATAATTATTACTTTTATAATTTTAAATTATTTAATTATCTAAAATAGTTTTAGAGACATGAGGAAATATGTAAAAAGTTAAATTAATATTAAGAAACTCCAACTTATAACTGTTCTCTAGCCTAAGTTGGAACGGGCCATATTTTTTAAATTACTCCCTTAAGTGAGTAAATAATTATTTAAATAATTTTTTGGATAATCTAATTTAATTATTTAGATTATTTAAATAATTATTTAGATAATGTAATTTAGTCATTTAGATCCTTTAAATAATTATTTAGATATCCAAATAATAATTTAGAATTTTGAGGATCAAGAATCAAAATTCATCAAACAAAAGATTCAAAAAGAAAAAAAAAGTTCATTTAGAGAAGATACGTTTTAGTGTCTGATTTTATAACTTATAATTTCATAATAACATTTTAAAAACAAAATCATTACCCATAATTTAAACTGTCTCTTTGTGAAAGAAGTGTCAAAAAAATTTTAATATTTTAAATGTTTGTCACTTAGGCTTAAAAGTTAGCTCTTA